AGCAGGAGCAGGAGCAGGCGCAGGAGGAGGAGTCGGAGCAGGAGCAGGAGCCGTGGGAAGAGTAGGAAGAGCGGGAGGTAGCAAGCGGGGTTGGGGGGTAGCCTCGGGGTCAGGATGGGTCGGGGCGGCGGTTGGGGTTGGAAGGGGTAGGTAGGTGTAGGTGTGGATAGGGATAGGGCTTGGGCACGGATCGGGGTAGGATTATTTCATTGAAACGAAGCAAGCAGTAACTAGGTGGTAAATAGTCAGTGGCTGGTAGTAAGTAGCAAGCATCAAACGCGAAGAAGTCAACAGCAAACAGACACATTACTTCCTATTGCCAGCCATCGCAGTAGATAGTACCAGTATGTACCAGTAGTATCCAACAGCCCAAGGAGGAAGCCAAAGAACCGATCCGAAGCCCTTTATACCTACGATCCCTGAACTTGGCACTCACTCTCGGGTTTCAAGGACTTCATAAGGCTCAGGGTACCTTGCCTTCTGCGACAAGGCAGCTCAAAGCACCGCCTTGTAATTCACGACGCATTCACACCGCTTGCTTGCACGACCAGAACCCTTTACGCTTGAGCCCTAAGCGGGCTGTTGGAGCAACCTCCCTGCATCCTGCATTCTGGACGAGGGTCTCCGCGAAAATCGGAGCCAGAAAAGAGGTCTTGTAGCCCAGCGCCTCTCATAAGACCCAAAAATTATCCAGTGGGATGCGAAGAAGACTTATGCCTAGCTTGCGGCAACTGTCCTTCGCGTGCGCAGTGAGTGGTACCCACAGGAAGTTTCGAAGCATCTCATCCTAGGTGCACGGGAAGGAGCAGCGAGAACACAGAGGCACGGCATGTGAACATGATGTTGTATCTAGCTATTTATATTTATGTTCATATTTATATAAATGTACACATATACATACATATTCAGATATGTCCAGTCCCCACTGAACGGTTTCCAGGGCGAGTGTCGGTACACATGAGTTTGATTCATTCTACCAAAAAACTCGAAGCCAATCCCTCAGATCTTTCCTTGAATCATAGTAATTATACGCCCCTAAACCCTAAATCTCCAAAGCAGATCAAGCTCGGCATGCGGCGAGCCAGGCGAGAGCGGCCTGGTGAAGCTGTTGCATGAGGCTGTCCAGTTCTGGCTAACATAGGAATACTTGCAGTAGTTAAGATCCTCGACAGTTGGCCAAGCATGCCTGCAGCGTCCACAAACATGAAGCCACAGCGCAAAGGCTCAGAGTAGTTCATAGGTTCATAGTCTGATAGTGATTTATCCCAAGGCCAAACTCGCTCGTCGATCGAAGCCTCCCTGAACGGACGAGATTTCTGGACAAGCTCCAGCCACCCTTTCTGTTGGGGTTCAAGCAGACAGAGTAGGGCTTCGGGGCATATTGGGGGTGTGCTTGGATTAAGACGGCTGACGACTACTTTGAGTACTCGCTTCAAACCCTGTATTACCCCAAGCTCCTTTACCAGCGCATAGATGCAAAGTGGGTCTCTGAGCTCCAAACCACTCGCCAGAACAGCAGCATGGTCGCGGCATTGGCGGGCAAGATGCGAGACCCTAAACCCTTAACCCTAAGACCCTGACCCTAAACCAAAGACCCAAACCCAGAAACCATGAGGGGCCTTCAGACTTAGAGTTGGGAATAAGGCTCCTTTAAAGGGGCTTATAAGGGCTCTACAAGGGTTCTTTCCCTAAACCGCACAGCCCCGCACTTTTTGGAAGCCTCTCAAAAGTATTCTATCCTAGCTTCTGCGGTTCATAAGGACCTCCTAGCATGAACTCGTGGCGCAGTACGCGGCACCCCAAATCCCCATCGTCACAAGCCTTCGGTCGCAGGCCATTCACGTTCCTTGCTGCACGCCGCCCACGCACTGCTGAAACCCAAACATGGACACCTTGGCGCAAGTCCCCTGGTTGTGCAGCGGCAGGGAGACGGTGGTAAACCCCCACATGCGAGATCTGAACGCCGAGACAAGAGCTGCAAATAACCCAAGCCCGGCTCGTTGTTGTGCGCAGAGCGTGCTCTGCCATGCAAAGCTCATGCATGAATGGCAGCATCTTCTATCCTCCGCATCCTAGACCCTGGAGACCTTGACGCCACTTTTCTACATCACAGCTGGTCTTCCGAGGCACTCGAGGCACAGAAGGCGCTACAGAACGGTTTGGGGCTTGGGGAAAGCACTCTTTGCCACGACTGCCATAATCATATTTCCGCGTCGGTTTAGTCGTGGCTTCGCGATTCTTGCTACACCACAGCTGGAGGAGTTGGCTAGCATGGCCTGGAACATCGATATCCTGATGGTCTCGGGGGTGACCCGACTCGTTGAGGAGGCGGCGTATCGCCAGCCGCGAATCCATTGACAGCTCCCGAGCCCCGCAGCCGTGCTGCTCATCATGATCATGCTAGGGCTTCGGGCTTTAAGGCTTAGGGCCTAGGGCTTAGCGACTTCAGAGAACGCGGGCTGCAACGCAGGAGGCGACGACAGCAGCAAAACGGCGGGATTGCCAATAGGGCAGTCCCTGACTCTCGACGTCAATCACGTAATTTTCTACAGCGCAGAACTTCTTCAATGTCAACCGAAGTCTGTGATAGCTCAACTATGCTAAACTCGGGTAATGACCACCACTGATAGGCAACTACATGAACTCAGTCAATATGCCATCAGGCCAGAGGACTAGCAGTATTCTTATGGAAACATCACGTGCATGCGGCGCTCACAAGAAATTGGAGGTGTCCGCCTTCCACGCGAGTCGCCGGGCACCCAAGTCTTGATACAGGAGTCGCTAACAAAGGAAGACCCAGCGATGAACACTTGCAGTGTAGGGCAAAAAGCTTCAGGTTCACAAATCAGGATGTGGGATTGGCACGGAATAGCACTGTGAGTTGGACTGTTCTTTGAGGATCCCTTTCTCCAGCTGCCGAAACTCCAAAAAAAAGCTCCACAATTGAGCAAGACAGTTGCACAACACCTTCTGACATGCGACCGGTTCGCCCGATTGGCCCCTGAAGCCATTCAGGCCAAGTCCAACCATCCGGGACCAGCTGCAGAAGAACAACACGCAGCCAAAGCTTCCAGGTGCTTCAGTTCACCATCGACAATTCCAAGTGTCCCAGGGAAACTAACGCCTAACTTTTTCAGATTCTATAGGGATTATAAGTAGTACTTCAAACAGGCTAAAAGATACCTATACTCGACTGTTAAAATCATCTCTGAGTCTCATGGACCCCTTTTGTCTCTGAGAGGGTTTAGGGTTTACGCTCTCACAACTCGGACAAGCCAGAGAGGGTTTTAGGGGTTTAGGGTTTAGGGTTTCGGCAAGGGGTCTGCCCTGCCAAACCCTACAGTATTCTGCAGACGGTACCAGTGACTCTCGCAACTCGCACATAGCAGGTCGGGATTAGACATAGACCTCTGAATGGGTCCTGAGTTCGTAGTTCGTAGTCTAATCAACCTCGTAGCTACCCTGAACTGCTCCAGCTATTGCGTAATTGTTTCTTTGCCTGCAATACGCTGCCGATTTCAGCTCTGCTCTTCGAGCAGCTGCGCTGCAGCGCGTCTGAATTCGCAGGTCGTATACCAGCCGGATCCTCGATCACGGCGGGAGCCTCCAGGTTTATCATCTCCTCCCCCTGATATACGAGGCGGCCGAGGGATGCAGCCCAAGGCAAAACTACCGTACTGCGAAGAAGAATAGTAATACCAATACTAGTAGTAATCGTCTATCATAGCAGCGATCATAATGGTAATCATCATCAGAATAACAGTAGTAGTGACAACAACTGTTTCTCATTATGGACACACCAGACCCATCAAGAGCCCTGCGTGGCTCTGAGTTAAAACATGGGAGAGCTAGCTCAACAGCTCAGCTTTCTCTCAGGAAGCCGCAGCAACGTGGGAACATGCGCTGGTAAAACGGTCCGGTGCAAGTGGCTGCATGATCACGTAAATGACACTGTTCCAATGACTCTGCCGGGCCAAAGACGTGACTCCTGTGACATGAAACGTGGAACGATTCGGTGTCGCAGAAGAACCCATGCTAGAGAAGGTACCCCGGTCTTGCCGTTCACGGAGTGCAGCGCATGCAAGCACGGGTGGACAGCTTGCGCGTCCAGTTAGCATCGAGGAAGGCAGCTTTCCAGAGCAGGGCAGAGACCGAAAACAGCAACAGCAAGACCAGAAGAGGCAGGGTACAGCATCCCTTCACCAGCAATTCAGATGCAGCCGCCCAGAAAAGTGCCTGGGCCAAAGCGGAGCACAAGCTAACGAAAGGGCCGATCAGGAGGGTCAGTAGCCATCTGAAGGGGCCACCTTCGTGGGGGCTAATGGCATTGACTAGCCAAAAGCTTGCCGGGCAGGACAGTGGCAGCAGAACGCCCCAGATGTACGAAAGCAATATCGTCATCAAGAGCCAATACTTCGTGAGAGAGCCGAGGCCGTACAGCTTTGGAAGCACTGCACAACCAGCTTGCTCACACTGGAGGTATTCAAATTCAACGCTCCAGAATAGGTGCGGCAGGAAGGACAGTAGGGCCAGGTTCCATCGGAGCTGTGTGGGCCCCAAATCAGCGACGATCTGGCTGCGAAGCTCCGTTCTGACGTATTCGTTGAACATGACCAAACACTCATCTTGGCTGGGGTAGCTGGTAATCCCACGCAGCCCTGAGCTCCGCAGGAGCTCCACGTGGTCGCTCGGCTCGCGGGTGTCCAACATCCTCCTTGGAGGCTCAAGGGGAATCACATGTCATGCTTAAGGGTGTTCTATACTAGCTGCAAGGCATGATGACGCAGCTCCGCCTTGCTGATATGAACACATCTCTGCTACAACCAATGCCATTCTTGACAAGCTTCAAAGGTTCGCCAAAGCTTTCGGAAGCCCCAAACTCAATGCTGATGGGCGCTTCGTCTATGCCATCAAACAAGCGGGCGATCTGGTCATAGAGGGCCGGCCGATCGCTAGACAGAGTACACTGCGCGGCTCGCACATCGAAGTTGGCAAAGTGCTCCAGCATGATGCCGTTCTGCCTGACCTTGTAAGTGAAAGCAAAGGCGGCCACAGTGTTCTCGGGCATCTGGCAAACAAAGATGGGAATACATCCCACGATGGCATTTGCTATGAAGTCGAAAGCTGTCCTTGTAGTCAACATGGAGCTCACCACGGAGCTTTGCTCAACAGTGTCTTTGATCGTCATGTACCAAGGCCATGCGAAGCGAACACCAAACCACGCCTAACGCTTTCGGCAAATTGAGGGGGCCAGGGTTTTAAGAGATGTCATCTGCTTCTCGGGGTCGGGGGCAGAAACACAAGGCGGAAATGGATAACGGGATAAAACGCCGAGATGCGGACAGCAAGCTGCACAGAAGCCACACAGCCACCCAGCTGCTCAATATTCGTATTCCGCCAGGATTGGAATGGCTCTTCGCAAAAGTTGCCATTTCCTGGCCCCATGAGACCAAGAGTTTCCAATGCTGCATGTTTTGGCAACTTCAACAACGAAACAGTGTGCTTGCAAACCGTCCGAGTAGCTAAGTTGCACCACAGTCGAGAAAAGTAGGTCTCGTCCCAAAGCACCAGCACGCGGGAGGATTGCTTCAGAAAGTCGGGTAGGGCTGCTATGGCTAGCTGCTTTTCATCAAGTTCTACCTGGTTAATGCAGGCCTTGTCTAGCCAGACTGTAGAGGCAGGCAGGTCCTTGGCCACCACGTGGCCAAAGAAGAAAAACATTAAAAAGACGACCATCGGCAAGTCAACTGTCAGGGGCAGCACCCATGCACTCGTTGCCAAGGCGTCTTGAGCATAGTGCGATTGATCGCCTGCAGGCGCCAGTCTGCTAGACAGATATCAGAGCGCTTGCCAACATTTGGTCTTCCGTCCTGGCCTGCAGCTGAGAGATAGAGCGACATCGAACTGAGCAGACATGTCGCCACGCTGGCCACAACTGCCCGATCGAAGTTAAAGTCGAAGCATAGAACCATGCACTTCAACCTGGACAAAGGACTGCCCTCCAGACAGGGACTTGACATTACCGGGACTACGGGATGCTGCGTGAATAGAATCGTACGTTAGATGCAGTAGACTCGAAGCCTTCAGGTCGAAGACCTGCATACACACAAACACAAACATGCATGTACATAAAAAAAATATATATATATATATGTGTGTGTGTGTATGTATAGAGATATATATATACATTATCTTTATATGTATATTTATATTTATATATAAATATAGATATAAATATAATAGCCCCCTGAATTATCTTCCTTTTTCGTGGCTATCCAGGGCACGTGGGGAAGCATGTTCCCAAAACTCGGGGTCATGTTCAGTTTTTCATGCGAACCCGTGCTTATCGACTCTGGCATTTTGCTGTCGAGATCGTCTTCATCTAGGCCATGCGCAATATAGTCAACGTAATGAAACGAAGCTGCCCCTAACGCGCTTCTACCAGGCTAGCTGCAGGATCGCTATTCTCCTAACCAATAAGGTTTAGAGTTGAAGGCTGCATGTAAGCTAAGTTGTCAAGTCAAAATCAGGCTGCCGACTAATGCTAGGATGACCATTCACAATGTTCCTTCAGTTCAGTCTCAGGGTTTACATTTTTGATTCGTGAAGGGGGGGGGGTATCGAGGGAAGCATCAGAGTCACCAGTGCGACCACTATCATGGCCAAGACCCGTTCTCAGTGTGGAATCACTTCAACTTCACTTTGGTTCTTAAGCTTGCTATTGGAGCTTGATATCTAGTCTGCATGTAAATATCAGACCTGCCGTTAGGGCTAAAACGGGGGCCGACGCTGAGCTTAGGGAATACGCGTAGGCTCTAGTGAATAATGCGGTCACGGTGAATATGGGCATGAGAGGTGAATACTGCTATGACGGTTGATATGGGTATTAGTAAATGCAAAAGCTTTGTTGGGGCCAATATGAGGGTTGCCACGTAGGCCACTATAATACTAAGCTGAATCGTCGTTTACAATAGAAGGGACGTTGGGGTTGCTGTTGGAATTCATTGTTCGGTCAGATATGAGGCTCTTCAACATCCAGACTGCTGTTGCGACGATTACTACTACTACCAAGTAGGAATTATTGTGGGGCCAGCAGCACTGTTCATCTTCAGCCATTTCCAATACATTTCAAGTGAGCAACACACGGAAAACAACATCACATGCTACACTATCGTGGATTTTATTTGGATGCATCGTGGATTTGATTTGCATGCAGCTCTAGAGGGATAGGCTATCACGCTGGCACTCACAGTAGGGTGAGTATGAAAAGCCGTGTCATTCTTTGGTCTATTGTTACGAGGAATAATATTGGGTCCAATGGGCTTCAGTGAGCAAGCCACGGGAAACAACGCTACTATTGTTCATCGTGGATTTGATTTGCATGCAACGCTGGAAGGGTAGGCTATCATGCTGGCACGCAGTCGGCCACATTTAACATGGGCAGGGCAAGTGAATTGGAGTTCAGTCCGAAGTATTGAAGTTCAATCCCGAGGATTGAACTTCCATACACCCAAGATTCCAGCACAAAGTTTCCCCAGGATCTTGAATCTTGAATCTTGGATCCGGGAGTATTGAAGTCCAATCCTCGGAATTGAAGTTTGATGCTCGGATTCCTTTCCCAGTCCCTAAACACATGCGTCAGTGCTGTAAGCACGTGCGCAGGCTTGTGTTCTATCATATGCTGTTTTGTTTTAGTACTGCACACATATTGAGGGGCTACCATAGACACGTACAGACATGTGCAGAGCTGTGTTTGGGTGAGTTTGTGACGAACAACAACACAAAACAACAATAACGACACTAGCAAGGAACGACAATAGCACTACTGCTCCTAAACCCTGAAGTAAAGAAGGCCCTCCCTAGTGGGCTCTAAAAGCCCACGAACAAGGTAGATAACTGAGGGGGTAGCATATTTAAATATATATATATACATACATACATACATACATACATTCATTCATTCACTCGCCGCGAAGGGGGTCCTCGCGATGCGGGCAGCTTGTTCAAGCTGGCAACTCCTTGGTTGCACGCCGTTTTAAGGCGCCCTTTCCACCTAAGCAAAAGGTCGCAGGAGCCGCTGTAAAGCATTTAGCAAGCTGAAGCAACATGATGAACAAAGTTGAACATGAGGATTCAGGTAAACCACAACCCATCTTGGCGTGTCCGCCCCATGATGATGGGCTGACAGCTCCGCGAGAGTTAAACTGCCCCGAAGGGCCACAAGTCTTGACAGGCTGAGGCATCCAAAAGTCGGTACAGGCCTTGCACTACAGAAAGGATAAAAAGACTAAACACAAGTATGTAGAAAGCCCCAATAACAAGAGACCATAGCTACTATAAGGATTGCCCTCCGACGATGCCCGTGCAGTACTTCAACTCAGCACTTCCGCACAAAGAAAAGATACGCATTTGCTTGAACCTGATGCACCTCCGAGCTAGTGGCTATGGCGGCCACATGGCCATCATCTGTGACATGCCTAATCTGTCCGGCCTGACACAAGGCGGTGCGGTAGTGCCCTGTAAGCATAGCGGGACCTATGTGGTACACTATAGCAACCACACTATACCGAACTGAGGCAGTTGTCAACGTGTTGTCGGGGAAGTAAGGAATATAAACCGCGGTGCTTATGCTTACAGGTGTCTGCAATTTGCGACCTGAGTCATCAAAACGGCCCACTTGCAGCACCAGCCACTCAGGAGTGGTGACCAGGGCATGTCGGGATGCCTGGTTTCTCCATTTGATGAGAAGCTGCTGCAAGCTAACTGCAGGCCGGGTTCCGGAATGCAAGTCTGGCAAATGCATGGAGGCCTCGAGTGATGCAGACACCATCATCGGCCACAGTGTTCCCTGATCGACAACCTGGGCTTCGAGGGGTGTTGGCGATGACTGCGACGCACTGCTAATGTTTCTGGCTTGCCAGTGTGACATGTGGCATGATGGCACAAGTAGAGGGGCAATGTGCTGCATAAACTCAGCTGCATCATGCTGGCAATGAGGCGCCTGCCAAGAACACATGAGCTCTGCCCACACCTTCACGGCCCACAAAGAAACAGGGCGTCTGGCCTGCTCAGCAGTGGGGCGCACAAGCCATCTCAAAAAGCGGCCCATGGCGCGATGGTGCACCTCTAGGCCTCCTGAGGGAGAGGCGGCAGTCCACAGAACTGCTAAAACAATGGAGTTGGCGTAACAGTGGTTGTGTGGGTTTGTCAGGATTATGCATCGTACAGTTTGTGCATCCACGCCTAGAGCTGTTTCATCAACTTGTCCACATACTTGGCCAACGGCGAGCGGCTGGGTTTGGCTGGCCTCATCGTGGCAGCGATGAGGTGCCAAATGCTGTTGCGTGCTAGCCTGCCCATAAGGGCGAATAGTTGATGAGATTTGGCTGTGCGGTTCTGGGCCACGAGTGAAAAGGGGATAATATCTCCGTTGAGATTGTCCTCCATTCTCCTCAATGCATGGAACCTGCCCACGACGTTCGGGAACATCGCCAAGTACCGCATGTGCTTGACCATCTGGACCGCCTCCTCGTGCTCGATGGGCTGGGCCGCGGCTTTCACATGGCGACGGGTCGCCTGATCCCACTGCAAGAACACATACGTCGTGCCCTCGATGAGGCCGCGGTTCTTCGCCGCCTCCATCAGGTTCTTGTCCACTTCCAGGGCCTCGAGCTTCATGAGGAGGGCATTGTACATGTTGTATAGCAGGATATTCCTCATCGGGTTGGTCAAAGCAGATGGATCCTGCTCCTTCTGACGGTTCCACTCGACCGCCGTGTCGTA